GAGGAGTGACTGAGAGAGAGAGAGATGAGGGACACCGTGGGGAGTGCCGTGGTGCGAGTCAGTGGTGGAAAACAAGTTCTAATAGCAAATCACGCTTGTTCCCGGAAGTAGATCTCCAAAATTCATGAAAACCTCCTGCCTGGGTCTCTCTCTCTCTCTCTCTCTCTCTCTCTCTCTCTCTCTCTCTCTCTCTCTCTATCTCTCTCTCCCTCGCCTCTCTCTCTTTCCCTCTCTCTCTCCCTCCACATTAAGGACATTGAGGATATAGTTGTTAATGCCAAATAGCAGGTGTTGGAAACTCCCAAACAGCTGTGGCCAGCTTAGCGACGTGCCTCGCGCTCTTCCGTCTCAGCAATAGCCTGAAGGAGACAAAAACTCTGAGCGCTCAATAGCGTTGGCATACAAATACATTAGCGCGCATTTCAAAGTGTCTGCGTTTTTCCCCTCCCCCACTCCGCAACGGCAGCGCAAGACTTGATTGATGACATGCTGCATGCTGTTGGATGGGATTGAGTTAGTGATTCGTGCATGTGTTCTGTGTATTTGCGTGGCTCGCTGCGATGTTCAAAACATTGTGTCGGCTTAGTTTTTGCCGTTCTTCACCTTTCAGGACTGCACGTTCTTCACGCGGAAAGAAATTTTACGTGCTCAGAAGCGCTTCAGGAGCTAGCTCCTCACGTCATCCCTAAGGTGATGACGAACAAGGAGCCGGAAACCTGCAAGGTGCCATTAGAGTGTGTGGAAAAAATGCCTGAGCTCAGGGTAAGTCCAAGACAGCTGGGCGTGTTTGATAGTGGAGCTTGGCATCAATCAGCTCGAGTTCGAGCATGTAATTTCCTGCCAAATTACCATCCACAGGATTGCGTGACATGTTTGTGTACAGATGGGGTATCGCAGTAGCCATGTGACACCAGGTGTAGTGTTAAGGATGGTTACCAGATTAATTAAGTACTAAGTAAGTGACTCGCACTCGTAAAATGACAAGCAATGCATACCCATACGACAGATAGCATAAGCGTATCATGATGATGGTATGTTTTGACTGATGCTACGAGCGCACAAGTTTCTCTGTTGTACACAGCTGTATGGCCAGTGAGGGTACATCTGTTCCCGCCTTGCATGGAAGATTGACGTTCATCAAAGCTTCGCAGTTTGTTTTCCTTCAACAGATCTCTTACACCACAAGAAGTTTCCGACATGTCTCTCCTAAGAGATAAAAAAGAGCAACAAAAAAAAACTGGTCCCTTGAGGTCGGGAGGCGCCCGCTTGCATGCATGCGTGCTATGGCTGGTACTCCGACAGTCAGCACGTAGTCAACACTGTTTCGCAAGCAGGCAGACAAACTGGAGTATCTGCTGTGTGCAGTACGGGTGTGTGTCTTAACACAATTACTTCAAAAGTTCCATGGGAGGAGACATAAATTTCATTTAACTATAAGAGCTCGTGCTAGGCCACCTAACGGGGGCCATTGCATTACATATGGATGAAATCCCGCACAGCCCGAGCCGACCGCCTTCACGAAGTCGAACGCCTCGTGCTCTTTTCAGAACTATCCATAACATGATGATGCAGCCGGTGTTTTTAAGCGAATGGGTCTACAGAGGCGTTCCTTGTGGGTTGCATGTATGTAAATTTTGCGGCAGAGCATCCTGATTTATTGCGGCACATCCTTATTCTACTAAGACTCTTCTTGTCGTCCTGTCGTAACTCTGCCTTGAACAAGGGATCAATGGGAAGAAAGTACTAATACCGGATATTTGTATTGTGGCAACGACTTCATCCATTACGTTGTGGTTGATGATGCGTAAAAACGAAACTTCTCAGGTGTAGAGGTTGCATTTCTTTAAAATTATTAGAGGTTAGCAGAGGTTAGATTTCGTGAGGTTAAAAAACTACTCTGAAATCAGAGCTGACTGGTTGCTCCGCAAAACACGAGCTTGGAAAACGTTTTTGGTAAACTGTGTTTAAAAGCCCCTAATCTTTCAGACTTCCCGCAAAATCCTGAACGTATAATGATCTCCCAAACGCAACTGCACTGTGATATGTCCCTGACAAATCTTCACTGATCTGTGGCTGGTATGTCGTTGTGATCAAAGACGATTATACAGCAGATGGTGTAGTCGGCCCACCCACCGTGATTTCCTTTGAATGTGTGCAGAATGCTTGCTCGGCTTGTTGTTGTCCTAAAGCAACTTAAGCCGCTTTTTCCGCAGGAAAATCCATTCAACCGGCGAATCTGCATGGTGTTCTCTGACGACCGAACTGGCAACATGACCTTCAACGATTTTCTCAACATGTTATCCGCTCTCTCGGAGGAAGCCCCGAGGGATCTCAAGCTGCACTATGCCTTCCAGATTTTTGGTAACAAGTGTTTCTTTATTTAAACTGACTTTTCACTGATACAATCAAAATGTTTGGTCGATGAAGCGCAGCTGGGCACGGAGCTAAGGGGCGCAGTCATTGTCTTTGTAGAGGTGAAGAGGGGGGGGGGCACATTACCGACTGAGGGCCCCTGGTTTTGATAGCCTTCCCCACAAAATAACCGAACATGATCCGGTGATATATATATATATATATATATATATATATATATATATAATATATCTCCCTCTCTCTCTCTCTCTCTCTCTCTCTCTCTCTCTCTCTCTCTCTCTCTCTCTCTCTCTCTCTCTCTCTCTCTCTCTCTCTCTCTCTCTCTCTCTCTCTCTCTCTCTTTATTTATTTATTTATACAGAATATTTATGGCACATAACTCTGAGCGTCCCGTTGCTCTTTTTCTTTTTGCGTTTATTTTGAACTGCCTAAACCGAAACAGAGGCCAAAAGATGCCGGAAAATGAATTCTGTTCAATTTTGTAAGACGTTAAACTGAAGGAAACGCGCATCTGATGGCTGCATTAAGTAAACAGGTCGCGCTATTCATTTCGCAGCGGCTCGGTGGACTGCTTCTCGATAGGACTAAGAGGTTTTCCCAGATTTTTGTGCTGGGTTCAACGTAGATAATGAGGACTCCGTGAACGTAGATTGTAGGTCCAAATGGGTCAGAAGTTGCATTGACATGGTTAACCCTTGTTCTTCTGGGAACGTTCAACATTCATTCATAACTCATAAACCCAAACAAGTTAGGTAACATAGCTTTGAGCATGCGCGCTCGCAAGTTGTAGAAACAAAATCCTGACGCCCAGCGTTGCAGTCTCCATGAGGACGCGCGGCTTCGGTCCCGCGACGAATATCAGGTGGCGGCCAACGGCGGACGAAAATGATGACGTATCTGAATGAAGTAGGAAATCAGTGCACACGCCCAGAAAATAGTTCGAGCGTACATTTCACCCGCGCGATTTTATATTTTTAATAGGAACAGAATAGCATTTACAGCATCGCGAACTGGCGTTGGTATCTGGTACTGGAACTGGAAGAGCTAGTGTGTTGTTATAGCTGTTTATCTGTTCAGAGGCATCCTAAAAATTTTGCAAGTCAAATTTACGCCACAACTGAACCTTTGAACGTTGCGAATTGATGTCAAAAACCTCTCAGAGACATTATTTCACGACTGTCATTTGTGCACGCCCGGAGCCCGCCACCGGGTGTTATCCGCAGCGGTCAACGCCGTTCGGTTTTCCGGAAGCGGCGATCCCGGTTATCGTTGTTCTCGCTATAAGAATTGGGAGCGCGTAGGCTCAAATACTTTCCTGTAGTTCATTTCACTAGTCGATCTGCAACAGGATTGGCATTGTCGGGCAAATACGGGTTGGCCTTTTTCATACTTCACCCAAATTATATCCAGAGGCCCTCCAGGCCCCTAGGAGCCTAAAAGAGGGGGGGGGGCACGTCCCCCCCCCTCTGGCCCGCTCTTCCCGCGCCACTGCATGGGACATACACCTTTTGGGGAGACAACTTTTCCCGTGCGTTGCTTTTTCGCCCCATGTCGTTACACGCACAGGGTTGTATCCGACAGATTACATCTTTGCATCGCATCTTCTTTTCGTCTTCTTTACCTGCCGCACGCCGTCATCCACTTTTCATCATCGTGCATGCATCATGCATTCATAATTTTCATCATCATCCATTTTTCGTGTGGCGTTTTCATGAAAGAAGACTGTCAACTCAGTGGGCATTAAACATCAAAACATGTTACTCAGTGGGCAATCGCAAAAACGACTGTCATGCACAAGACGCCGACTCCCTGACATAATAACTGAAGACGTCGGCCATCGCTGACGGAGACGCCGTCGCGTGGCGGCAGATTTCGACGGCGACCAGGCGGTCGGCGTCCGCGATCTGGAGTCGGCCCTCTACGCCCTGACCCGGGACGACCTCGGCCAGGACGAGGTCAACGTCATCTGTCAGAAGATCCTGGAGGAGGCCGACATCGACGACGACCAGAAGCTCAACTACATGGAGTTCGAGCACGCCATCGCGCGCGCGCCAGACTTCATGGCTAACTTCCACCTGCGAATCTAGGCTCGGGGCGGGAGGCGAGTCGCTACAGTCGGCTGGCGTGCCGCCGGCGCTGCGGCGCGGTGTAAGAGGCGCGCGTCCCGGCCCATATCAGTAAAGTCCCGTTTCCGGTCTCTGTTTCTATCGGGGTCCTGTACTCTCCTTTATCTGGGTCCTGTACTCTACTGTATCTGGGTCCTGTACTCTCCTGTATCTGGGTCTTGTACCCTCCTGTACCTGGGTCCTGTACTCCCCTTTATCTGGGTTCTGTACTCTCCTGTATCTGGGCCCTGTATCTCTCCTGTATCTGGGTTCTGTACTCTCTTGTATCTGGGTCCTGTACTCTCCTGTATCAGGGTCCTGTATCTCTGTTCGCCGGCGGTCCGTATGCCGTGCCGGTATCGCACTGGTCAGTCATGTCTGACAGGGTATTTTGGAACATTTTCTGGAATATTTATGCTGTTCGCCCTTTTACGGCATGGCCTTTTACGTTCTCGTGCTATATCTGAGTTATTGCTGTGTTGCTATGTTGAAATCCATGCTTTTGATGGACAATGTCCTAATCATTTTATGTTTCGGCGTATTGAGAACGGTGTCACGACGTAAGTGCAACGGCAAAAGCTCCTATCGGCAAGAGTGCTTCGACATCAATTATGCGCGGCATTACTTCTGGCGCCAAAGATCATATACGACATGAATGCTACATGAGAAAACTTGTGCTGCAAAGATTTATACTTATCATTACCTAAGACCGTCTCCATCTATATGCGACATAACTTCTGCTTCAAAAACTTATACACAACGTGAATACTACACGACAAAACGTGTACAGCAAAAACATATACCAGTCATTACTTCTACAGCAAAGACTGGACCACAAGTCTTTGCTATAGCACTTATGTCGCGCATAAGCTTTTTGCAGCAGAAGTGAAGTGGCGTATATGTAAAGACTGCATACATTTTTGCAGTAGAAGTAATGACGAGTATAATCATTGAAATATGTTTCGTCGTATAGCACTGTCATGTATAAGCTTTTGCATTAAAAGTTGCGTCGTGTATAAGTAATGACCGTTAAAATGAGTGCAGTTGAAGCAATGACGAGCAAACGTTTTTGCGGCATACGTTTGGTCGCGCAGCACTAATGTCGTGTAAAAGATATTGTCTGTAGAAGTGATGTAGTACTTCTGTTGCTAGGAGTTTTGCTGTAACACTGATGTGGAATCATTGAGAACAGTGCGTGGACATCTTCGCCGTAAGTGATCTCAACGACAATGGCTTGTACCCTTTACTATGGTGTTTTAAATCTGAACGAAAACCGTTTAATTTTTCTGGCATATTCTATCATGTCACCGCGGTGTGGTTGATGCGATAGAACGCATGTTTGAGAGTCGTTATACCAATAGGTGGTTCTGGTATTAGTTTTGGCATCACGTGTCAGCATAGAAAAACAAATAGGAGTGTTTTTTAGCCCTTATAAACTGAAAAACCATGCACATAAAGCATTGAACGTGTACCAAGGCCACCTTACCGTAGATTTATGCCTCATATAGGTTGTTTTTGTGTCATTTGTGTGTTAGGCGGTTTATATGTCCAGCGAATCCGCGGGTGGGCGTCATCGTCTTACGGCGCTTCGAACCACACTAGCAAACGTTGGCATCCATACCGATCCAAAGTGTTTGACAATGCACAGCTCTCTACAAACTTAGCGCCTCGTCTTACCTCGGGTTCGACAACAGCACGTGAACCACGATTTGACTTAGCGGAGTGTCACGAATGTAAGGGACACCATGTAAGAAACATGAGACGAGGCGATGGCACTCAGGCAAGTGTGAAATATAGTTTTGCCGTTGACACCATCGCATACTTGATTTCAGCCTTCAGGATATTATAGTGACCGTGCGACTCAACACTACTAATGCATTCGGATTGCGTGGTGACCACATTTGCGTAAAAGCCAAAATTCATGAGCTGAACAGTAAATATTTCTGCAATAAAAATTATATCGACCGGTAAAAGCCATCAATATGCCAGGTGGTCCAAAATGCGTCACCAAACTCTCGTGGTGAACTATTCATGTATTATGCATTGCACATAAATGCTCATAAATAATGCATCGCTCGCGTTGAACAAAAACGGCGCCGGACGCTTTCAATAGATGCATTTGCTTTACTGCGGCGGTCAGACATAGCTTCTCAGTGATTCTATCGTACTCACGAAGAAGTTGTATGTCATTAAAAAGTTCTGATCGAATAGATCCCGTTATAGATGATGTTTTATTATGCCTTGCCTCCCTGTGCCAGGCCAGGAGGACCATAGCAATGTGTTGAATTCCAAGCCATGTGTGAATCACTGAAAATGAGCTCGCCGATGTCGCCGCAAAGCCTGCCACGCTTCGTCCATGTACAAGAGTGCTCCAAATACACAATTTCCTATACCTACTCCGCAGTACCCGCCACGGCGTTACACCTAACTAACTGGCTTTTTATATGACTGGTGGATTAGCATAGGGATGTAGTAAACACCAGCAAACTATAGAGCATTAAAACGCACTCGGATGGCCAGTTAAATGCACCGCGCGCCGCGTTAAGATCTCAAAAACTTCGAGCTAGAGGCACCAAATTCATGAGATATGCCTCCTTCCATGTGAACTAATTTGTGCCAAACAGTGTTCCTGGACTTTTGGAAGGGGACACAACGCACGTTGTCACGACCCTTTTAGGAGGCGCCAGCGACTGCATTGGTCATATTAGCGCGCACAGCCGGTATTTGAGCCTGGGACTACCAGGTGGGATTTCCACGCGCTAACCGCTTGGCCATCACGTCACCGATGTCCCCAGGCTGTGATCTCTGGGGGCAACAAAGTTGAACAAGGTCCAACTACAAATAAGCGCTTGAAATGCCCGCTTACCTCATGTAACCACCTTTCACCTAGACATCTTTTCTAAGCAGAGGTTACTGATATCTATATAAGCTCAATTACCTCATTTCACCTTGAAGAGCTCAAGGTGATAAAAACTTCTGGGACTTTTGCAGATATTAATTTAAAATCATCGTTAAGAAAACGCATCTCAGTTGATCTGGAGTTGGGTGGATGCTGTACTGACATGCTGCTTTAGATAGTTCATCTCACGTTACGGCACATCTTTATCTACCGACTGAAGGTGTCTCGGTGTCTACAGAAGGAATTTCTAAATACGAGTACCGTTATTGAAATATAGACCAGTTAGACCGTAAACGGAGCCAGTCTTGCATGAACGGCGAAAAGTTTGGCCATCGAGAATTGTCTAGCTTTCCATCAAAATTTATGCGGAAAACAAGCACCGTTTTTATTTTTGATCCCAGGTCAGAATTTTTGAAGTCCCATCTGCTGAGGGGAATCGCATGACCGATGCACCCGCCTGTGTGACTACGGGGCCTGTAGTCTCCCCATTGCCAACATCACCAGTAGTCTAGATCGCCGTGCGGGAGGTGTTGTTCTATTTCAAAGCAGTTGAAATGATCAATATCTGGGGTCTCAGCCACCATGGGCAATATTTATTTCGTGAGTCCCTGCCCCATCACCCGATCATGACATTCCAGGCTGTCGGTGGTGCTGCAATGCTAGACACGGCCCGCCCTGCCCTCGTTCGTCATTTGACCTTTGCCTTGGCCTGGGCCACCAGCCGTAGGTCGTCGCAGGCAGGTTCAAATGGCGGGCGGGTCAAGTGGCCCGAATAATTCCCGTCACGGGTGGGAAAATCCGAACGCAGCCGCTCTCATAAACTGAACTATCGGAATGCGCTACCGGAACTAATCAAACACGTGTGGAAATGGCGTGCGACTAGGCTGAGCGGCTGGTTTGTGATGGCACCATGCAATGGACATGAACTGAGCAGCGTTTCGGGCGCCACCTGTCGAGAGGACTGAACGGCTAGCTTGCGATGACACCTTGCAACGGACATGAGCCGAGGGGCGTCTCGGGCGCCACCTGCCGTGAGGACTGAGCGCGAGCGCGGTGCAGCGCCACCTGCCGAATACAGATGCGCCGGCCGGCCTCTGCACCATCAGTAAGAAGTTGGTTACCAAGTTGCCGGAAAATGGTGAGACGATTCAGCCACCATAACAGAAAACACAGCCGACAACAAAACACGTCGCGGTCGTCCAAAAATTGACGTCTGATTGCCCCCTCATCAACTAAATGTACGAAATAACTCCAGGGCCTGTTCCTTGCCCTGAGAGGAAGCCAACGTCATCCGGCCTTGCGTCTTTTACATTTCAGTAGGGTTTCAAACCTACCTGAGCGCGTCACGCTGTGACGTGACGTGAGATGAGATCACGTCACGTGCTGCGTGTCACGCAGCGTCCCGCCGTTCAAAACCTCCCCTCTCTCTCTTGTCGCGTTTTTGTTATGCGGAAGCTGAATGCTGTCAGATACGTGATATTGGAGTACGAATTTATGGGCTTCGGGCGTGAGATGATGACGGAATTTGCGCAAGCACTCAATAGTGAAGCTGCACTTTTTGTGATCTGGAGATGTGCTCCGCCCAGGATAATGACCGGTCCATGGTAACATCCAGCATTTCACAGCGCAGAAAACGTTGGCGTTCAAGTTGGCTCTACCCCGACGAAAATCACTTCTAAAGTTCCTGCGGCGGTTCAAAGTCAGGCCATGGTCATCAGCAAAGGGAACTCATCGGGAGTAGTTAAATCTGATGCCACAACGGAGTGTTGGATGAAGACATACATCTTTGAGACGGTCTCTTTGATACCTAGAAAAATTAAAGTTAAAGCTTATTTTATATTTATTGATAGCCGGGAGGACAACAAAGGAGGTCAGCGGGCCACTAATCTAGAGTGGCCTAGAATAGAACCCAACCGGTCAACATTTTGTTTTTATGACCATGTTGCGTTGCGTAAGCCAACAACCTTGCAGGTTTTTGGTCGCCATGACTATCGCAAGATGAGGTGACGTCACTGACCTGAAATGAGCACCAGTGGCCTTTTGCATGGAAGGGATATCTCATTGATTGCATGACAGGAAACCTTAATTATTGACCTAGCAGCATTTGAGATCAATCTTAACGGTGTTTTCTGCTACGCTTTACGTTTCTTAGTTTGGAAATGGCAGGGCCTACATTAACAACCTTATTAGTCCTCGTCACCAGACACGGCGAATCAGGACGACAGTTAAAATGGAAGGAAGTGAGCTTCTCAAGGTTAAGAGTGGTGTGAACAAGGATAAGGTCTGCCTCGGGTGGTTAATCTCCGAGGGGCTGGGGGAAAAGAAGGATTTTACGGCGAGAAGAGTCTTCTCGTATCGGGGCTTCAAGATGGACGCGTGTTTAGGATGCGCAGAGGCCAGCAACTGCGTGTCGCCGGCGCGGGATGCAGGACGTCTGTGAGGCTGGTTGGATGGCAGGTGGTTTGTGGCTTTACTGAAGACAATGGGGGCGGGGGGGGGGCGACCAGACTGCCGTGAAGAACACTGAGAAATGGAAAAGGATGACCAGGCTCTCACCACATGCCGCCGGCCAACAAGCAAGAGAACCCCTGGGATACACGGCCACCGTCCACCTCTTCCGCGACTAATGTCCGATTCCTCCCGCGGCGGTCAGGCCAGGAAACCAACAAGCCTCAATCGCTCGTGATGAGTGGCAGCACTGGCTTCACCCGCAGGAAAACATCCGGATGTAACCTTTCAAGACGTATTGCCGTTTTTAGCTACCGCCAGAGCATTCACCGCACTAGCGCAATAAAGTCATTGAGTAAATAAGAAATCAAGGGAGCGTGAAATAGTTTCGCACCCACAGCCATGAGGGAAAACTTACAACCAATTATCCTCATTTATATACGCAGCTCACCTCGGATGAGAACCCGACAACGGGGCGGGGGGGGGGGGGGGAGTGGTACAGCCAACGGAGAGACTCGCAGGACCCGGCAGCCTCCGTAGCCTGGGATATTCCTTTTGCCCATAGCTGGCTTCTGACAGGGAGTTAAAATCGACGCACTCAATGAGCTCTGGAAATTTCCCCTAAGAAAATAACAGTTGCATCCCAGGGGGAGCCTACGGAACGGGGGCTGACGCACCTACGCCATTCTTATCTTTAGCATGCTTTCGTAAGCCGAGAGAAGTGCTTTTCAGATAGATGAAGGGAAGGTAGGCATTCATCACCCTGCAGGGATTTCCACCTAGTGTATGGAGTGACAACCTCACTATGGCTTACATCGTGCACGCCAAAGTTGCGGTACAGGGTACTGTTTGATGCTTTTGCGTAATATCAGGTGCGTTATTCCGGTGGGTCCGAAAAGGAATGACACCGGAAATAAGCATCCTATGCTATGCATTACAGATGCATTGATACTGGCTAAATGTTTAAACGTATAGCATAACTGCGGTCGGTAGCAGTGTATCCTCACAATGCAGCAGCGTTTTGGTGCATGCCTGTGCACAGGCCATTGACACCTTTTCGAATTAATCATTAAGGGGATGACGTTAACTTGACCTGAAATGTCGGTGGTTAAGCCGGACGGGTCAATCTGAACGTCGCAATGTGTGCCTTGTAGTTATCACCGCTCCTGGAGACCCGCGACGGAAATTTTGTCTTAGCATGGGCTGATGTTGCGGACTATTACCCAGTCCGTCCTATCGCGAAAGGGTTAACACTTCGCATTGCAGAACCACAGAAGCGAGCAGGCGCTGCAACCTGGAAAATAGAGCAATGTTACACCGAACGTCGACTTCAGCCCGTCCCGCTGTTAACGAGCTGGTGCGGGTGGAGCCCCTGGAACTGGGCCAGGCCACTGCGTCACCGCCGCGTGGAGCTCCAGCACTCACTGGCCGGAATTCCCTACCAATCAGGTCGCAGCAGACTCTTTATGCGCAGTTGATGAAAGGGTGGCATGAGCAAACTCATACGGGGATTTGCGACACCACTGTGGGACCTGTGAATGGAGGTTCTCGCAAAATGGAGAGAATGTTTCAGGCAAGGCAGTGCGATGGAATTAAAACCGTCCGGTGATCCGCACTTGATCTTCCCTAAACGATAGCGTGACGTCACTAGTGCCAAAACTTCAATGCGCGGTGGGCCGCTATGCGTCGGACGTAATGCTCAAGGGCAACCAGCGTATCGAAATATTCGTGCAGTTAATGCAAAAAACCGTCAGCGGAAGATGTATATGGACAGGGAGCCGATAACGTGTACTTTACGGCGAATACGATGATGTGCTTTGCAAGCCTTTGCGGCACTCCATGAAATGTAATGGCATGGATAGTGAATGCGTGTGCACGGGATTTACTTGCAACAGGGCAGGAGGAATATCAGGCTGTCAGCAAATTCAACGAGTATGATGATAGTGGCAAACTTAAGCGGCAAGTGACCACGATACGCTTCGATCTTATGCAACCTGGCATCTCGTGGTCGTGCTACCGCCGTTGGTGTGAGTGATAGGCAAGCGTGGCGAATCTGCTTGTAGCAATTAAATTTGGGTGCCAAACGCTCCAGATCCGCGCCAGATCCGTCGTGCCTGGTCCGTGCCTTTTTACATTCCTCCGTTCTGCGTGCGTTACAACTCGAATTCTCTCCTCTGAATTGCAAGGATCTAAACCAGAGTCTTCTTGATTGCAAATCCAGTGCTCTTCAAAACCAACTAACTGGGACGGAGCAGTGAGGAAAAATCCAGGGAATCCTTTCCAGTAAGCTCAGTTGGTAGTTCCTGTTTCAAATGACAGCAGTTATTACGAGATAATTTGAGTCTTCCGCATACATGATTGGTAGTCAAGCAGAATCTAGTCTCTTTCAGGAATCCGTAACGCTCGATCACGGCCGAACTGCTAGCTGGTCGAAACGGTGCATGCATGCAAACACGTAAGGCGCGGACGATAGACCGAATGCTTATTCCATCCGTCGAAGATTCCTTGTTGATCTGGACATATGTTTCTCCACTTCCTCTGCGATCATGCATCCACGTGTTTGGAACACCGTCTCCTTGTTCGTGCAACCATCGCTGTCTGTCGCGTAGCAGCCTCATACGCTCAAGCGCCGATTCAGGGGACATCAAGGGTGCTGCATGACGCGGGAATTCCGGCCACGCATCATCGGACAGCAGCGTTGTCTACACAGATCAGGGACGGGCGCAGGAGAGGGGGGGGGGGGGGCGCAGGACAGCGTCGTCTAACACAGGCCAGGAACGGGTGCAGGTAAGTGGGCAGGACACGAGGTCATTATCCCCACGCGAGGTCATCATCCCGGCACGGCAAACGCCCTCTGAAAACGTCGGCGCGAGCCATGTTGTCGGTGAGATTATCAAGCTGCGAAACGCCAACACTGTCTTTGAAAAGGCTTGCCGCAACGCCCAGTTGCGGTCTTGACGGAGTGTCTGCTCTGCCCCTTGTGGAGCAGGCGTGAGCCTGCCCCTGTTCCCCGACAACTGCCGGCTGGGAATTCCGTTTGACTCTGCACGGTCCAGGCAGCGCTATATCGGCGGGGCACGGGGCGGAGCGACGTTATCAGCCCGGCACGGGGAGCGCGGCGTCATTCGCGGCGTGGTGCGGCGGCATATCACGCTGTCTGCACTCTACAGGCTGTCTTCGTGCCTCAGCTGTGCTGTCATGGCGAAGTGCGCTGTCTGTATTCCGCGTGTCTGCTGCCTCCTCGGCGCGGTCTGGTGTCTATCGTCCTGCTCCACAGCGCAGAGTGAGTGCCCCCTCCCCGTCCTTGAGCTTGTGCTAAGGGCTCGGCCGGGGAATCATGGCTGAATATTTATAACGAATATAAATCGTCTCCGAAAGTCTGCGCGTCGGGGGGAGGGGCAGAGCGTCCGAGACCCAGGGGACCTTGGGGCCCAGTTCGGCATAAAAGGCCGCACTCCTCCCAAATAGTAACACTTTTTAAGTAACACTTTTTCCCCAACAAAAAGTAGCACCTTTAACACTAAGGCTCCAGACTTGTCATGGTCGTGTGTTTTAGTAAGCGGCAACTTGGATCAAGAGGTACAGAGGACCTCTATGTAGTTTAGCAGGCCTCCTTTAACAACCAGAGGTCATTGTATCCGAGGATGAACTTCTTTGCATGCCAGCACTTCTTTACGTGTCCTTTAATTACCAGAGGTCATTTACATGCAGGGGTGAACTTCATTGCATACCAGCGCTTCTTTACATGTGTTTTAATTACCAGAGGTTATTTACATGCAGGGGTGGACTTCTTTGCATGTCAGCACAGCCATACGCGAGACCGGACCGCTTTTAAAGCAACTGAAGCACCCCTTGGTAAGCAGCTGGTCTTGGAGCGTCAAAACGGGCACCTGGAAGCCAAAAAGTCCGCCACTATCACTAGGGCGTAAGCCCACCACTATCGCTAGGGCGTGAGGAAATTGAGGGCGATGAGAGCCAAAAGCTGATTGAGCGCCCCGCATCGTGCCTGAGCATCCAGAGGACCATCTCAGTGACTAAAGAACTCAGCGGTAGATAGGTCCAGAAGAATCCAGGTGGGACCCGGGGTGGCCAGAGACGGCCCTGGGCAGGGACAGGTCTTGAGCGTCCAATTCTTGGTCGTTCCGAACATTGTCATGAGTATCGCATAACAAAACATCGCGCGTGATCGCATCAGGTCTCGCGGTCCTTTCGTTGCGAGAATTCTCTCCTTAAGAAGATGGGCTGGCGGACTGAAGCGTGACGCAGCTTGACGCCCCCTGAGTTCATAACACTTACCTCATGTCCGGTCAATATGATCTCCGGAGAGCCCAACAGTCATGTCCTAGGCTCCATTGGTCGGGTACATGTCACCCTGACCTGAACTGCCCCACACCCAGCGCCTTACCATAGCGCCCGATGCGTGGAAACCAGACGGGACAGTGGTGCAGGCAATGCCCCGTTGAGCATCCAAGATGCTGGAGAAGGATTCCCTCAGTCGCTGTCCAGCGGCACTTGGTACGGGTTCCAGACTATGCGCATGGCCTGACCAATGCGGAGGGGTCAGCCGACAGCTGGCTGAAGAGTGTCAGGCTAGCACAGGGTGGCCGTGTTGTAACGTTCCATGTCCTGGACAAGCCATAATTAGGAAATACTTTGACACGACACATATCGGTACAAATATGCAAAAACAACCTAGAGTTAGAAAAAAGCAAGGAACTTGGTCTTTGGAGCCCCGAGGCTGAGTTTCTGCGACACCGGGCACTAACACTACCAAGAGTCTAAACCACCTTCCATTCGCAGTTATCTTCGGACAGCAGCTACAGCCCACCCTGTCGCCAACCACGCCAGCTCCGTCATCCCCGCCACGGCCGACGGCGCATGACCTCGGCTCGACCTGTCTGACTCCGGAGAGACGTACGGGTCGCTGCGACCGGGTCACTAGCTGTCCCGTTCTGGCCGAACACCTGCGCAAGAGGAACCTGTCGTACCTGAGGTCGTCGGTCTGAGGGAAGGCTGGCCCCACCACACTTCTGGTGAGGTTGCCGAAGGAGGTGCTTTTAGACGCCACAGCCCTGCGCATTCTCAGACGGGACGCCGTGCACGTAGTAGGAAGGTCACAGGCCTAGTGACATTGGCAGTCGCGTCAGCACCCAGTAGTCATGACTTTAGCTTGGAGCGGGCCAGGAGCTCTTGGTTGGAAGTCGGAGACTCTCCGAACTAAGCTTTCATTATTCGAGGATGTTTTATAAGGAGCATCGGCTGACTCTCAATGAGGCGGTGCCGGCGGTTCGCATCGTTCGTCGGCTGGAAGAGGAAGTGGATTGGTTAAAGCTGAGTTGATCTTTGTGTTTATGCGAGGTTCGATGAACATGTGGTGACCGGGAGTCTCGTTGACTCTCTCAATTTCAGCAGCCCGCCTCTGCCACCCATCCCTTCCTAAACGTGAGGCAACGCTGTCGTCAGTTAGGTAACTATGGCACAGCCACACACCTACAGCTATGCACTGTCCGATAAGGGAATGAAGTTATGAAGTTCGTTCAAGATGCGCGTTATATCGTGTTTCAGCGTACAACAGAGGCACGCACATTCCAGGCATGACTACACATTCAGAGTGAGATTTACGGCTGCAAAGTTTCGTCCTTTTGTTCACTAGGGGCATTGATATCTTGCGGATGGTCTGGTACCGATTCTGCTTAAAACTGCCCTGGTTTTGTCCCAGCCGCATGGGCTGCGACTGTCGTAAGTCATGCTATCCACGTCGTGTACAGCACAAAACCGCACACATTTCGGGTTGACCGATGACAGCACGCTGGTGTTTAGTGCAGTCAGACTGCTTGCTGTTAGCACACTACCGCTAGAGAGAGAGAGAGGACACTAGAGAGAGAGAGAGAGAGAGAGAGAGAGAGAGAGAGAGAGAGAGAGAGAGAGAGAGAGAGAGAGAGAGAGAGAGAGAGAGAGAGAGAGAGAGAGAGAGAGAGAGAGAGATCATTTGCGTCCTGTTGCGTGCGTTTGAAGCCTCTGGCGCATGTTTCAGGATCGAGGCTCACGTGGGAGATCTCGATGTAGCCACCAGCATCGACGACAGCCTATTGAACACTCAAGACGTAGAGATAGAGCAGGTGTTCATACACCCCGACTTCAAAAGGAGCGTGAGGTCACCAAACAAGACACTCGTTAATGACATTGCTCTGCTTAAGCTAAAGAGTGAGGTCAGGTTCTCAGGTAAGATACACTTTGGCAAAGGAAAGTTCTCTATCTCCATGAGCAGTTGTTCTTGCCTAGTTGCCTGACGCCACTGAATCATGGTATTTAGTGCTTGCTTCGCACACAATCTAGGCAAACTCAGATCATCTGTTGCAGTTGATTATGCGTGTAACTATTTGAGACAAAAGCGTGTCCACAGAGTCTATTTTAAGAGCAGGTGACTGGAGAACCGATCATCTCCATTGTTGGAGGTGGTGAAGGAAAAAAGAGACACGAAACATGCGGGACATTTGCGTCATTCCCAATGGGTTAACGAATTTCAAACTTTGAAATCCTTTGGTTGTTGACATTCCCCGAAAACCCTCACTTGTGGATTGGATCACAGGACAAAGGACGGGAATCGAGGCGCCAGTGTTGATACACTGAAGGAAAAACGTCTAGGGCATGTGGGTCAAGAACGTCGTGATTCACGGGTCAGCTAAGTCCAATCTTTTTTGCAAATAGTGTTCGAGGTATTTTTTGCGTGTCGGCGGCCAAAAACGACCTATTTCGGGATTTATTGACGTGTGGGTAAAGACATTCACGATGGATGTCTTAGATGGGTTTGCCTCAAGAAAGGTCGGGCGGATGCTGCTGGCAAACCACGTTGACACTGGGAGGGTCTGCTGTTGGTAAAGCGATATTTTGTTAAGGGTGGATTTTTCTGTTTACGGGGATGGGAGGATTGGCACTGGTCGACACTTACATCTTACAGTCAACGTGTAAAAATGTGTCCTGTGTGTCAACGAGGAATGCTTCCTTTCCAGACGTTGTGAAGCCTATCTGTGTCCCGGAGAAGACAGAGGAGGTGCCATACAAAGGGATCGCTGTTGTTGCTGGATGGGGAGCGAATGAGTTTCGTGAGTTTTATCTCGACGTGCTGTAAGCTTCGGGAGGGGGGGGGGGGGTCGCCTACTGTTGCGTGTTGCGTGTTGTGCCGTTTGCCATCTTCGCGCCTAGCACTGCGCTGACCTAGTTACAGTGTACGTCCAAGCAGTGCATGCTACTCGAGTTTGCACTTCCTTCGTTCCAAACAAAGATTTCAAGTGCAAAACGGCGTCAACGGTAGCCGCCACGTCAGTTGCCGTGCCAATTGCCACGCATTTACATGTTGGCATTGCAAGATCGCAATTTTGGAGGCCTCACCATCGCTACCCCGTAGTTCTTCACATTTCCACCCGCGTGGTCTTACCTCTTCACCACCCTTGTTCGTTCGTGACCGTTCACTCAGCAGCCCACTCGGGCGTCGTAGTCGCTGACCATTGTAGATGCATCGCCCTTGCGCGATGTGTGTGAGAGGTGTATGCAGGTGGTTTCGTAAGTGGTGTATATAAGGGATGTACGCACGGAGTGCATGCGCGGGTAGAATGTACGGGATGTATCGGCGGAGTGTATGTGAGAGGCGTTTGTATGACGGTGTATGCATTGGTACGCGTCTGAAGTTGGGTACGTGTACGGGTTGTGTAAAGGGTGTTTATGTATAAGGACTTCACGTAATGGGTGAATGCACGTGGTCTACGTGGTCTACGTGTACGGTTTGTGTGCACCGGGTGTATGTACCAGGTATATATCCGGGTGTATGTACTGGGTATATATCCGTGTGTATGTACCGGGCATATGCATATGGTGTATGTACTGTCGTACGGTCTGGGTGTATTTACCGGATGCCAGTACCGGATGCTTGCAGAAGGCGCATGTGTGGTCCTGCCGCAGAAACACACGGGCCCTGCTCACGCGCGTCACCCGTCCGTCCACAGGGGGTTTGACATCCCGCGCGATGCGATGGGCTGTCATCAACTTCAACCGCCTTGACACGTGCCAGAGCAACTACGGCGAGCTGGGCGTGCGCGTGGATGGAAGGCTGCACCTGTGCGCCAGCGATAACGGCACGGACCCGAGCCCGCCTGTCTGCGCGCCGGACTCGCAGGAGCGCCGCTGTCAGCTCGGCTTCGACTACTGCGAGGTACGCCTCCGCCAGCCGGCCGGGAGGCGGGCAGGCTGAGGTGGCGCGAGCACTGCGAAGTACGCCTCCGCCAGCCGGCCGGGAGGCGGGGAGTCTGAGGTGATGTGGGCACGAACGTGAGAGGGCTTATGAAATCATTTACGTGCGTGTAGCATGCTGAGGAGAACGTTTGTAGGCGCTTATGCTTAGCCATGGGGATATTTTGGTTTACCCCGTGGAATTCCTGCATACACACAGGTCATGCATGAGGTGTTCATTGTTGTGCGCTGACATGCGTCGTCGGCACTGAAAGTAAAAGACTCAGTCCTGCAATTGCCAACAAAGTAAACCGCCTGCCACCTCACGATTCAAACAGTATGTGACCTTTCATGAACGGGATCTTTCCTTGTTGTCTGGCAGGGATAAGCACCGCTTTTGAATTCATCTGGTCGACGATAGCAAAATTCCTCACGCTATCTAACTTGAGTAGGATGTGTGCAGGTCGATCAGGACCTGCACAAAAGCTCTGCAAGTGTGAATGGGAATAGGTGAATCCACGACCACTATTCGCTTCACAATGCCGGTGTATGTTTGGCTATGTTCGGGCGGAGCCGCGCTGAGGGTCAGAGATAAACTATGAAGAAGAGTCTGCCGTGCCTTGGCTCAAAGTGAACTATGAGGAAGAGCCTGCCGTGCCTTGGCTCAGAGATAAACTATGAAAAAGAGTCTGCCGTGCCTTGGCTCAAAGATAAACTATGAAAAAGAGTCTGCCGTGCCTTGGCTCAAATATAAACTATGAAGAAGAGTCTGCCGTGCCTTGGCTTAAAGATGAACTATGAGGAAGAGCCTGCCGTGCCTTGGCTCAGAGATAGACTATGAGGAAGAGCCTGCCGTGCCTTGGCTCAGAGATAGACTATGAGGAAGAGCCTGCCGTGCCTTGGCTCAGAGATAACATGTGAATAAGATTTAATTTACCCAGACCACTGTCGTCAATCAGCTGTACCTACCCGCTCCCGCTCCTGATCAGCTGTAGCCACACCCTCCCCACTCCTGATCAGCTGTACCCACCCACACCCGCTCCTGATCAACGGTAGCCACACCCTCCCCGCTCCTGATCAGCTGTACTCACATACCCCCGCTCCTGATCAGCTGTAGCAACACCCTCCCCGCTCCAGATCAGTTGTAGCCACCCGCTCCCGCTCCTGATCAGCTGTAGCCACACCTTTCCCGCTCCTGATTAGCTGTACTCACCCACTCCCGCTCCTGATCAGCTGTAGCCACACCCTCCCCGCTCCAGATCAGTTGTAGCCACCTGTGCCCCGCTCCTGATCAGCTGTACCCACCCGCCTCCGCTCCTGATCAGCTGTAGCCACTCCCTCCCCGCTCCTAATCGCTGCACTCACCCGCTCACCACTCCTGATCAGTTGCACGCACCTGCTCCCCACTCCTGATCAGTTGCACCCATCCGTTGTCCACCCGTTTCTATTTTTCAGCATTTTGGTTCTAAGTCGTGGATGAGTATCAGGAACGTTCCTACTGTGAATGTTTCTGACACTGAGGCAACGCAAACGAGTACATTGACCTTATGCCCAAACGCACACTTTAGCGTTGACAATTGTAAAAGTAATACTAAAGAAGCAAATTACTTTTGAGAATAAAGCTCATGCAGTAACAATGCGCACAAATGCTGTCATAGCCGGCAGCATTTCTTTCTTGAAGCATAGATCAGACATTTCACCAACGCATTACTCATACCAACGCAACCATTCAAATTTTCACAAAATGATTGCCAACCCAGCCGATCAATTATGGGTGCCCATTGCCTTCCCCGACGCGTCAAGTCCTCCACCTTGGTGACATCACAAATGACAACACACACGCGTCGTTATTGACAGGCCGACAGCGGTGGACCTCTGATGGTAGCCGAGAGGGTGGAGAGCGGCCTGAAGTACCACTCCGTTGGTGTCCTGTCGTTCGCCGTGGGTTGTGGCAACGCCAGGTACCCGGGCATCTACACGCGCGTCGACTCGTATCTCGACTGGATAGCGCAGACCATAGCCGGCAACTGAGCGGGGACACTGGAGCCGTCGTACTTGAGAGCCGAGGACGGGTGGACCGATCCACGGCCGACAGCTCAAAAGCGTGCGACAAAAACGCGTCGAACAGGAGCGCCGGGGCGCCGGTAACATCCAGGACGAGGTTTTGTACTGTGCACTGTGATAGGCTGGTGACCGTGCGGGGGCTGCAGAAGTGATAGGTCTGAGCATCACGTCGATCTGGCGGAAACATGGCGCACCGTGGAGCGCTGAACGAGAGAGGCAGTTTTTTGAACGATCACTGTCAAGTGCAGAAAAAGTTGATCGGTGAAATGTATATGGTCGTTGCGATGGATGCTGGTCGTTGAGGTAGGCCGTGGGGTAACGCGATATATCTGCTAATCTTGTTTAACCGATCAATGACAACGCCGATGCATTGTTCGACTTTTTGCTGAGCTGTCACTCAGCAAAGTGGAAACTGGTCATCTTTCTGCTAAAAGAGGAGGCGCGCGTGCGCCTTCGACAATTTGTAATGCTCATGATCCTGAGGTGTATTATTTGAATGTGGTATGCTGACGGTTTGTAACGTGCTGCTGCTTTCTCAAGAGTTGTTTTGTACTCCAGGGGTCATGTGCAAATGATGTCGAGTGTACGACATCGAAATTACATCGAAACGTCAAGTACTATTTCAGAACATTGAAAATATGTGCCATTTGTACAGCAATATATTTCCAACAGTAGAAACAGCACTGCAATATGTTTCTTAAGCATTCGTCATCTTCATAATTTTGTCAGACTGCAACACGTTCAACTGCTTTATTAATTTCATCCATTTGTTTCATGATCAACTGACTAACCAGCAACAGTGAACATTTTGTGTCCGATGAACGCGTCTTGGTTGTCGGTTCCACGTCTTCCTATGTCAAGGGGATGACAATCCACGTTACTGTCTTATTGGCAGACGGGCAAGCGTATAACGCTAAAACGTCTTGTGTCGATGTAAGTCTCACGCAACGCTATGCTTCTCGACTCACTAGCCTTGTTTCTCTCACGTTGTGCGCTTATTTACTAAGCTCCAGTGTGCAGACCGGCACAACCCTGAACATTGCTTTGACGCTTCATTTACACTGATGTCAGTTGTGGATATGATGCAGTGACACATGCAAGGAATGGTGAATACCAGATGGGCAAACAATGTGTTGTCCATGGCTCGTGTTCTGGTGTGTGACGACACCGTATTAATCTGTGGTGACGTAACGGAAAACTGCAACACAGACACATTTTTAAAAAGAAAACTTGTTTGGGATAAAAACAGCTTTTCATCTGTGCAATTTTATTTTAATTATCGTCATTCTCCTTCATTCGCAAACATACTTACGTACAACGCCATAGAGTTCAAAACTATTACAAAAAGGAAAACGACACTAAAAATACCTGATAGCACAAAACAAAGCACCATCAGCCTTAAAACCGATGAGATTCATCATAGATTTATCCCAGAAGAAATAGCAAGGTAGCAACTACACCACTTTCACCTGGTGAAACACGCATTAACTGAACCAGCTGCCTCCGTCTCCTCTCCCTCTCTCTCTCTCTCTCTCTCTCTCTCCTTCTCTTACTCTTCTCTCTCTATCTCTTATCTCTCTCTCTCTCTCTCTCTCTCTCCTCTCTCTCTCTTTCTTCTCTCCCTCCCTTCTCCCTCTCTCTCCCTCGCTCTCTCTCTCTCTCTCTCTCTCTCTCTCTCTCTCTCTCTCTCTCTCTCTCTCTCGACATGCCGGCTTTGCTACTGTCCCGGCTGATGTACCACACCCAGCGCGCTGAGAGCTGACGCCTAGCTCTCGCGAGGCTGGTGGTAACGGTAGTGGCCTGCTGATGCCGCGGCGTCGCCGCTATCCTTCGTCAACATCGGCAAAATGCTGCTTGAGTGTCCACGCGCAATAGTGGCCGCACCAAGCAGTAGGTGCTAGCTGGTGCTGTTTCATCAGGAGGCACGCGTTGCGCGCATTGTCGGTGCCGGCCCGGCGCGCCCCTCCCCTGCAGCCGCCCGCCCATCTCCGCTGCCCCCCCCCCCCCCCCCCGCCAGCGCCCCGCCTCTCGTATTTACACATCGTATCGGCACATCGTGCTTAACACATGAGTGCACATGGTATTTACCCAACCTGTCTAGCAAAACGGTTCGAGGCTTGCCACACCATGAGCTTACCGTAGGTTCAGTGTCGTGTTGTGCTGTACGGTGTGTTGTTTCAGCTTTAGCCATACGGGTTTGGAGTCTTTCACCGTGGTAAGAAGGATGGTTGCTCCATCATGAATACCACTTTACGTACAGTGATATAATTTCAGAAACTGGCGCTGGGCGGCGGGATCTGTCGTTCCTGAGCGGTCAGGTTGGGCACTTTGAATTGCCTTGTTTGCTATGAGCACATGAACAGATGCTTTACTGCCGAATCATTTGTGCCGTCAGAGAACGTGGTGTGTGGTTCTAGTCGGCATCATTATGTTCCGTGCGTTATGCTTGAACAGCGCCAGTTAGCAATTTCAGCAAAATAGACGATTTAGAATGCATCATATGTTTGGAAGGTATCAAAGATTTAAAATGTATTGATTTACTCCGCTGTGTTAGCGGCATTTTGTTATTTGTGACCGCAGATCAAATTGGGAAGAGCTATGGTGATGGACGCACATGCATTTAAATGTGATTGTGATAGTATTGGTGTTAATGCTTCAAAAAGAATGTGGCCAATTCATCGGGTTGTCCTGATATGCCTTTGGTTACATTCGTTCTTTGCACACAGACTATTAAACCGCCAAAACACACGCCTGCGTTGTTAACTTTCTCATTAAAAGTAATGAAATAAGAGAGACGAGGCGCACGAAAATAAGTGGATATCGGGTAAGTCTCACTTCGAATGTAGCGATGAGACGAGCGTTAGTCCACTTGCTTTGCTGCGCGAAGTGAAACAAATTATAAATTTTAACTGTGAATGTTTTGCAGTTTAAACCATGGTTCTAAGTGCCCTATTTGCCGAGATATCGCGCAGTGTCAAACAGCCTCGGCCAAGGGCCGCGGGCGGTGCTGGCGACCCCTCGCGGTCGCCGACGGGAGAGAGCGCATTTCGCCTGCGCTCCCTGCAATAAGGGCAAGCTTACTTCATGAGGCCGGTCATTGATCGTGGGACGTGACGGGTGATTTTGCCCCTCCCATCAACTGTCAGCCTTTGAATGATGGCAGCATGCACTGCCGTTGCATTCAACGGCATGGCGTCGTATCGAACAGTGAAAACAGTGGGTACCGGCCGAATAAGTTTTCTTGTCTCGCGGGTCCGTGCCGCTGCATTATGTACCACGTGACCGTCCGTTGGATTACCCATCAATACATGCTACTCCCGAGTGCGTCCGTAACCTGGGTGAAGAGATGTGGCACAAAACGTTTAAAATTGTGGAAAAGGGAGAGAAAGATCATCCTTTACACTTGTTCATCACCCTTCATCATCATTCACACACCATACTCATCATCATCCTCAGGTAAAACCATCCATTAATCCATCCGAGTGAAAAACGAGAGAAATTTTAACTGTGGATTTTTTTTGTAGTTCGATTCACGCCTCTGCCTGCCCTGGGTACCGAGATGTGACACAAAACGTGTAAACCCATGGTAGAGAGCAAAACAATCTTTCTGGCTCGTGTGTGCCCGACACGTATAACGTGCCACCTCGCACTTGTGACACCATGGGGTTTCCCGTTCAATGGCCTATCGCAGCATGCCAGGCTCATGTTACCACGTGCCATTAAAGCGGAAATCCCGCGTAAAACGTAAAAAATGAGCGAAATCCGCAAAATACGTGTTCACAGCTAATGTGCACGTGTCACATGACACGTGCAGTATGATATCGTATACGTCTGGGTGATTGCCCGTTGGATCTCCTATCGAAGCATGCTAGTCTTGACGTACTTTATTCCTTGGCTTCTGAGATATCACAGAAACGCGTAAGCCCCTCAAAAGAGCAAAAACCTGCAAATCCACAGGTCAACACGTGGACGCCATGACATGTGGTACGTGTCACCTCACACTATCATCAATATTGGGAAACAAAATCCACACATCTACGCGCACTGCGAACACTGCAACCGTCACAAACAGCGCGCCGTCGACCACCATGCGTGCGCCGAGTTTGTGCTTACGGATGGCCCGTCCGCCAGCTGACAGCCGGACAGACTCAGCCCCGGTCGCAGGGGTGTATCGCGATAGGTTCATTTTGGTTCAGTGTCAAATGTGTGGCGCGGAAGAGACAAAATAATTTCACCAACCCTGACTCACGTCGCTGCGTGTAGTTTGCTTTTGCTTAGTTCGCCTTATTGATGTTTTGCGGGGGGATCGAGGCAGTGTTTGTTGGATTTAATTACGATGTGTTTGAAGATTTCGTGTATCATACACGAAAGCTAAAAAAGTGTGTTTTGGACAATGCTGTTTATGTGTATGGTACCCACATGTAAACCTGTCGGTAGTGTTAAATGCTCAGGTGCTCTTCATGGTGCTCGTGTAACGTGGCATTGGGCCGCTAGTTGCAGCGAGTTCCGGGTGCTTTGCCTGCTGTCTTGCCCTATGATTGTGCGTATATTGTGTTTTTATACCTACATTTACAAAAACATGTGTGAACCTGGTGGTACAAAATATACCATCTCATTGTTATTAATTGTAAAGCTAATGCATCTCTTCAATCAATCCTAACACTGCTTAGATAAGTGATCTCTCTTTTTGAGAAAACAAATGTTTAAAAACAACTCGAGGCAGGAAATGCTAGCATGACATTTATGACATCTAGGAAACCTTACGATGCTCAAAATTTTCATGGATAAGGCTGGGTTGCGATTCCCATTCAATTGCATATTATGGTTGATGGGAACTGGAACCTGTGTCGCATCAATTTGTCACCATCACGTCATCTTCCTTAGGTATGCAAGTGCACATAAGCATCATTATGTGATGAAGGAGAGAGAATATCTATGAAAGCGATCAGATGTATGATTTTGCAGCTGTTCCATTATATGTCTTGGAGTCCAAGCCTAATAACTTGCTGTATGGGATCAATTATATCAAGGGTATCATGACGCCTAGCTTTTCCCTTGAAAGTTGATTATAACTATAGCGCTCAACTTTTTTTTGCTTAGATCTCCTAGGGACTGGGATGAAATTGTCAGAGATAGGTGCCTAAGACGGAGGCGTGGAAAGAGGGGCATCTGCAGCCTTTCCAGTGAGAAGAACTGTCAGAAGACTGCATTGCTGTGCAGAGATGTTGGACAAGCATCTATGTCACAAGTCACCGATAGTGAGAACTGTGCATGCTGTTAAGAAAAGGGATGCTGTGATCATGTCTATCACTTACGCCCCATTGTTGTTGAAGTTTGTAATAAGGACATTGTGTGGCTGCTCTTGGCATTGATGAGATCATGCTAGAGTGCTTAAGTCATGCATAAATAAAGGTGATCTGTGTCTGGCACTGTCTAGTTGTGACGAAAAAGTTTGCCTTCCTCTATTGGCGACAACTGTAAACTTTGGCCCTTTGAAAACTATGAAATCTGCATTCCAAACAAGACGTGAACAGAGTGGTAACTTCTTACGCAGCAAGTTCAAGATAAAGTTTACTTATCTGCCCATGGCTACTGAATGCCTTTCAAAGGTTAGAGTACGTTGTGACAAACAACA